GTCAGTTAAATATCTGAAAATCAATGTAAATACATTATATTGATAGAATAAAACATAAAAGTCACATGATCACTTCAATAGTTGCAGAAAAGACTTTTGTCAAAATTCAACACTTAAGAAAAAACTCTGGATAAAGTAGGACTAGAAGGAAACTTCAGCAACTTAACAAAGAGTACTTATTAAAAGCCCAGTTTGGACATCATACCTCACAGTGAAAGGTTGGATGCTTTCTACCTTAGATCAGGAGCAAGATGACAGTACTGCCTCCTGCTACTTCTCATCAACTTTGTCCTGGAAATTCTAGCTGGGGCAATCAGATGAGAAAAGACATTCAGATTGGAAAGGAGAACTAAAATTAGTTCTATGTGCAGATGTCAGATTATGTATATATAAAGTCCTAAGGAATCCACTAAAAAAAACTCTTAAAACTAATAAATGAATTCAGCAAAATTGCAGGATAAAAATGCAGTATACGAATTACTTGTATTTCTATGCCCTTGCAATGACAAATCCAAAAATAAATTGGTTCTATTTATAATAGCATCAAAAAGAATATAATACTAGGAATAAGATTTTTGTTGTTGTTGCTCTTCATAACTGGATTGGCCCTCTACCAAACATTTAAAGAAGAATCAAAACCTATTTTTTACCAATACTTTTTTTTTTTTTTTTTTAGGGAGGCTTTTGCCTAGGGCACATGCGCTTGCCAGACAGACAGAGACAGACAGACAGAAAGTGAGAAATCACCCCCCAGGGGGGATGGCCACGCTGCAATCCTCTCTCTTCCATTCTCCTCTCAGGATCTTGGGCACGCACACACATGCGCCCAGCATGAGTTTTAAGCCACCAGGTCCAGGACGCGAACCGCGGTTGACTACATGGGAGTCCAGCGACATAGCCATTACACTAACCGCTGGTCCCGATTTTTCACCAATACTTTTAAGAAGTAAAGAACTGGAGAACACTTCCCAACTCACGTTCTGACACCAGAATTATCCCGACACTAAATTAAGACAAAGATATCATGAAACTACAGACCAGTTTCTCTTACAAATATGGGCACAGTAATCCTTAAAACACTAGCAAACAAAATCCAACAACATATAAAAAATTATATACATCATGACTAGGTGGGACTTATCCCAGGAATGCAAGGTCAGTTAAATATCTGAAAATCAATGTAAATACATTATATTGATAGAATAAAACATAAAAGTCACATGATCACTTCAATAGTTGCAGAAAAGACTTTTGTCAAAATTCAACACTTAAGAAAAAACTCTGGATAAAGTAGGACTAGAAGGAAACTTCAGCAACTTAACAAAGAGTACTTATTAAAAGCCCAGTTTGGACATCATACCTCACAGTGAAAGGTTGGATGCTTTCTACCTTAGATCAGGAGCAAGATGACAGTACTGCCTCCTGCTACTTCTCATCAACTTTGTCCTGGAAATTCTAGCTGGGGCAATCAGATGAGAAAAGACATTCAGATTGGAAAGGAGAACTAAAATTAGTTCTATGTGCAGATGTCAGATTATGTATATATAAAGTCCTAAGGAATCCACTAAAAAAAACTCTTAAAACTAATAAATGAATTCAGCAAAATTGCAGGATAAAAATGCAGTATACGAATTACTTGTATTTCTATGCCCTTGCAATGACAAATCCAAAAATAAATTGGTTCTATTTATAATAGCATCAAAAAGAATATAATACTAGGAATAAGATTTTTGTTGTTGTTGCTCTTCATTTCATTATTATTATTTATACATTCAATCACTATACATCATTTAGATTGTAACAGGAATAAGTTTTAACAAAAGAAATGAAAAACACTGACAACTATAAGACAACATCGACAGAATGTAAGAAAGATCTAAACGGAAAACCATCCTATGTTCATGGATAAGAAGATGACATACTGAGACAGCAGCACATTCCACAGCAACCAGAGTCAGGGCAACCCTTGTCAGAATCCCAGCTGTAGAAATTGGTTAGTAGACTCTAATATGGAATTTCAAGGGACCTAGGATAGCCAAAACAGTCTTGAAAAAAGTAGAGGAATCTCTTGGTTTTTAAATTTTTTAGTCTTTAGAAATATTGGCTTTGTTTAGGGGTAGAGTGTGGATGGTTCCCTTAGAGTCTACAGTCAACTCAGAAAGCATGGTTAGATACTATGTTCTGAGTAAATGAGCTTCCCAACGTCCAGTAAGAAAAGTGAATGACACTTGCTATGCTGAAGCACCACCCATGGGCCCTCGGGCACTGAATAGGAGATAGGGAGGCAGCATGCTCTCCCAACCTATCTCAGGCTCCCTGCCAGGAGGTTTTGAAGGCTTGGCAGGAACAACGCCCACACAGAGCCCCAGAGGCCATGTCTGAAAAGCATTTCTTCCCACCCTCGGCTTAGTCAACAGTGTTTCTTGAGGTAATGTGGGTGGAGGAGTATTCCAAGAACACATCAGGAAGTTCATATCAGAATGTTTCAAACCTACGAAAACGTTGATAGGACAGTGCAGTGAACACTCAGATATGCCCTTCATGACTGTTCACTAGTTGCTAACACTGTGTTGTCTATTCCCTTTCTCTCCTATCCGTGCCCATATCCACACACACACACAAATCCATGTATGTATGCAGTGGAGCACGCATGCACAAGAATATCCACCTATGTGCTTATGCACATACATGCACACTTCCATGTACACAAGAATATCTGTACATGCACACACATCCCTATACACGCACATGCATGTGCACGTGCATATCCACACACAAGTGTATACAGACCTTTTCTTGGTAAAGCGAGTTGCAGCATCTTGAACCGTTGCCCAGCATATCCCCGTGTACCTCCTGTGAACAAGGGCCCCTGAGAAGCTCGGTGGCTGTGCTGTCCTGTGTCTCGTCACCCTCGTACAGTCATGGGGTTGCAGATCAACCCACCCAAAGGTGTGGCAGTGCTTGCTGTTCACATCAGAGCTCCCTGAACAATGGGGCTTTCTTCTGTTGCGGTCTCCCACTGGCGGATTTTGATTTGGGGGATGGGAGCTCATTCTTCCCACCTGGCTACCTCCCGGTCCCTCATTCTGCCAGACAATGGGGACACCAGGCCTCACAGTAAATACAGGGGTTGTAACACAGAGGGAACCCTCACCTTCCCTCCCAGGGAGGGGGTAGGCTTAGAGGACCCCAAGGATTGAGTAGGGGGCTTACAGACAGGGTAGGAACTGAACAGGGCATTGCAGCATTCTCTTGCTGCCTTAGGTCGTCAGGCAGTGGAGCCAGGCGGGCTCCTTAGGGTGACAGAGCACCCATTGTGAGGGTGGGGAGGTACCAGGGACCCTGGCCTGGAGCCCCAGCACCAGGCCTCACTGTTAGGCCACCTCCAGCCATGTAGTGTTCACGGCAGTGGCAGGACACTCCGCTGACCAGGTACTGGCTAGTGAAGAGGTGTCTTGGTGTGGGGAGGATCCTCAGCCCGAGCAGTGACTGCCCAGAGGCCCATTGTCTGTTGGGAGATTGTCCGTGCCCCATAGCAGTGCCTCCAAGGAACTCCGAGGCTTTCATCCTCGTTCAGTGCAGTGAGGAAGGTCATGGGAATGCAGGTCAGGCCAAGCATGTAGTTGGGTGGCTCTGGGCTGGCCGCAGCAGAGGCGAGGGCAGCTGGGGTTTCTGTGGAGCTGTAAGTGCACCTGCGTGCACCACTATGGGGTGTGCTGCCATGTCCTGTGGGGGCCGTTGGTGGGGGTTGGGACTAGGTTCCCCTCCTTGGGCAGCCTCTGATCCCTGAGGGAGGACAGGGGAGAGGTCTCAAGATCTGCCAAGGGCTCTGCAGGATGGTACTGGTTTGTCCTTTGTCTGTGGTGTGGGGACAGCCAAGGGAAGGGTGAGGAGGAAGTGGCTGGGAGTGGCAAATGAGAGGATTCTCAATCCCTCTGTCACTATACTCCCTGCCCCTATGCTAGCCCAGCCTTGGAGCCAGGGTGAGGGCAGGCAGGAAGGCCCTTGCAGAGTGGCCTCAGATGCCATCGTAGGCCTCAAAGAATGCGGGATGCCTGCTGCCTTCACAGGAGTGTTTTTGAAGTCATGCCACAAGAAGCATGTTCTTGACTCCCCAGCAGGGCCTTCAGTCCTGAAAGTGGGCACACCTCTGTCCCTGGAGAGCCAGCCTCCTCCATCCACGTGTGTATTCTGTGCCTTCTTTTTTTTTTTTTAATGAAAATAAAAGACCACATCACTCAGGAATCCAAACCAGACAGGCCAACAAGACAGAACAAACCCTGTCTTGGGGCAGGGCAGGAGGCAGGAGTGGGTCTCACTGCAGCAGTGGGGGCCAGGGAGACGGGGTGCTAGGTTGCGTGGTGCCTGCAGGGCTGCTGACACTCCTCAGGGTGGTGGGCCATAGTCCCATGGAGCTCAGGGTGGGCAGTGGTCTTGGTCGGGTTTCGTCTGTGCCCACTGCAGGTATGACAGCATCAGTGCCAGGCCAGCCTGAGCTCTGGGGATGCCTGTCTGAGTAAGATCTGGGGTACATACCACGACAGTGCCATGCCCATCTTGGCCAGAGGTAGCCCACATGGGCCCTGTAGCACTTAAAAAGATTATGGATCTGAGGTGTCATTTGAAATCACAGCCACGCAAAGACGGAGGTGTGCTCAGCACCTCGCATGTGCAGGGCCCTGGCGGGGAGTTGGGATCCAGCACACTTGGAGGGGCCTATTGGGTACTTCGCAGACACCACGGGGTGACCACAAAGGTCTGGCCAAGCAGTACATCCAGGCATCCAGGAATCATGAGAAAGCTGACTACACAGGAGTGAATGGCTGCTTACACCTGCAGATAACACATAAACGTGTGTAGACATGTAGCACACAGAAACATACACAGACACACATGCATCCCAGACATACGGACACATGAATACAGGGAGAACCCTGCAAGAGCACAGGCTGATGAGGGCATGGAGGGGTAAAGGTGTCTGATGTGGGCTGTGGGCTGCCATGGGTGTCGTGGACAAGAAGGCTTCTCTGGAAGGAGGGCTGGCCCGCTATGTGCTGGGAGACAGAGCAGAGAAACGTATGCTGCACATTTCAGCCCGAGACTTGCTGGGGCACCAGCGCTCTGGGGACAACAGCGTGAGTTGGGTTCATTCCAAAGATGTGCTCAGAGCCCCGGAACGAGGCAGCTCCTTTTTCTTATCCCCCATGCCATTTCCTGATCTCCACTCAGGCCTCTAATTCTCTGTAATTCAAGATCCTCCTGCTGCATTTGATCATATCCAGCCGCCTTCAGACATCAGTCTGGTGTGTTTCTCCAGCTGAGTTCTCAGAATTGTTGGAGACAGCTCTACAGGCGTGGAGAAGGCCAGCTTCCAGAGGAGGAATCTATTCAGGCATGAGAACTTTCTTAATTAAAGATACAGTCATTGAACCCTGAGTATAGTGGGCACTAGGTTAATCATGAACATAAGCTAACACACCTTCAGGGAGTGGAGTGAGTGTTACTGTCAAGACAATTTAATAGTCAACCCTGTATGGGAGTAACAGAGTAGTGAGCACAAGAGACCAGGGTTTTGAGGAATGCATAGGAGTTTGCCAGGTGGAACCACAGCAGACACTGGGCTGCATTTGGTTTTTGGTCACTGACTTGATAAGTTCCTAGTTTACCAGGAATTTCTGAATCCTCGTTCCTAAACTGAGAGCTGACGGTGCTAAGGGTGTAGCTTCTTGGCACAAATAAACAGCTACTGTGTTTGCATGAGGATGGCTCCCTCAGTAGGTGGGGTGTAGGGGCACCGTAGTTTGTGGCCAGGTGGGCTCTCCATCTGGATGTTCCAGAGAGTGAGATAAATGTCTTTTCAAAGGTACTTCAAGCTTCCCTAGAGGCGGTTCCCCCAGCCCCGCAGCGTGTTGGTATCTGCTTGTGTGCTTTCTACCCAGCTGACTGGTGGCAGGTGGTGGCAAGCCTGCAGGCCCTTCATGGGCAGTGGAGACTGAGCGAGGATTTCTTGTAGGGACAGCACCCACAGGGCCCTCTGAGGCCAGCATACACTTCACGCCCAGGGACCCTTGGGCTGCACTCAGCTATGCCGTCAGCTCAAGAGGGTGCTGGGCAGGGCACCCGCGGGGAACAACGGGTCCTCAGATGTGGGGCTCTCCTGGCTTTCAGTCTGAGGCCCCTCAAGAACTGGCTTGTCCAGGGTCAGAGACACAGGAGTGAGTCATTGCACTTAGCAGCCCCCAGCCAACCAGTGCCAACTAGATGGATCGGCCAGCTAGGGCCATTGTTTCTCGGAACTGCTGCCTAGCAACGGAGGAGTGACTTATGCCCTCATGGGGTATTTCAGGGGAGCTGAGCTAGACAGTCAGCCTGAGGTCAAACCCGCATGCAGGCTGGGAATGGCTGAAGACATTCTCACAGTGGCAGGTGTGCCTGCGTGGTGGCTGGATTCCAGAGTGAAAGTGCCTCCCCTTTCCTTGTCACAGCTCAGACTGAGGGAGGACCTGCAGCCTCAGGGGGCCTGAGAAGGCCGTGTGGCAGCCCGTGGCCTGTGCTTAGTATTGTTACCCTTCGGGATCCTGCAGGCTGACTCGCCGTGCCCTCACCTGAGTCCTGACCCGCCTTCACAGGGTGGGTACGCTCGTCTGCCTGTCGCCTTGTGGGGAACGTGGGACTCAAGGTTGCATTTGTTGAGTTCCTGCAGGGGAACCACAGCGTCCTGTGTTCATTGTCGGGAGTGTCAGAGACTTGCCGCGTGTGTGAGGGCAACAGTGGGGGCAGACTGTCCTCCATGAGGTTAGAGCAGGGCAGGGGGCTGCCCTCTGGGGCTCTCTCGTGTCTCATCTGGGTCCTCTATACCCCCAGGCAGGGGTCTCCCCTTTCTCCCCTATACTTCTAGGCTGGGGCCTCCCCTGTCTCTGCACCCCTTTGCTGCCTCTACCAGAAAAGAGAAGCGATACCCTGAAACCCTGACTACACTGCTCGTGGGGAACAGGCATGGGCAGGACCCTTTACACGGAGCTGGGCAGAGAAAGGGAGGATGACCTGGCCCCTGGCCACAGTGATGACAGGAGCTAAGTGCAAGTGTGCACGCGCGTGTGCGTGGAGGCTCACATGGTAGCCGCCTTTGTGGGGCACCTATCGGTTGGCATCTGCCGAGGCTGAGCTGTGGGACTGTGGTCAAGAGCCCTGGGATGCTCAAGGGAAGGTTGAGTGAGGGGTGTGCTAGGTGCTTAGTAGTGACCCGGGCCTCTGGGAGGCGGGCAGGATAGGCGAATCTGGAGGGGTGGGTGGAAGACGGCAGAGGGTGGTTGGCCTCAGAGTGGAGGGGCTGCTGCCTTCCTGAGTATGGCCCCCAGGGTGGGCGCTGCCGACTCTCCTTGTTGCATACACCTGGTTCTGCCAAGAGTTTGAGTTAGTTGGGCAAATGAATTCAGGGTCACCCCCGCTTCCGAGAGCCCCAGGGGAAACCATATGTCTGAGCACCTAGAGCCACTGGGATGGGGCGAGGGGCCAGGGCCTTCCCCACTGTTTGGTGAATCATGGTCCACCATGAATGGGGACCTGAGCTCTCCCTATGTGCTGGTGGAAGGGGTTCTCTGGAATTTCTGTCCTGAGATTTTCCAGACACTTTTATGCATAAAATCACATAAGCAGTGGTGAAATTTCAAGCAGACTGTTCTCTGGGCATTTCTAAGTGCTGGGTGTCATGGGGATTAGTTCTGAAAACAAGGCCTCACTGAGACACAGATGTTTGCATATGGGATGTCCCCTCCACCTCCCAAGAGAGGGGACGTGGTGTTCGCTGTCTGAAACACGTTCTGATCCCAAACAATGGAGCCCTGCCCTTTGGACGGTAACTGATCAGTTGCTCCCTGGCGTTGGTGTTTTGGGTTGGGGACAGTTGGGGACAATTGGACATGTCAGGGCTATTTCATCATAGTTGTGCCGGCTGGTGCCTGGCACCGACTGGTTATGCGGGCGGGT